ATGTGTAATACCAAAGTATCAAATGTTTGTTTTCACTTTCTGTGTAGTCAGCTGTTTTTATTTTCTTTTCTTGCTGCTAATTTCAGCACTTCTAGAATATATTGTTAATTTTCTTTCTGTTAAATAGACTAAAATGTGGCTGGATTTAGAGAGACAGCACCAGGATGAATGATGGGGCATTTGGCCCTACTCCTGTGGCATGATTTGATCTTGAAGGACATTAGTATGCATAAATAGTTAAGATCACCATGTATAATTATAACTTAAATTTTTGTTTGTTTTCTTTCCAATTTAAAACTTCCTACCTTCTCCTAAGGTGTTGGGAAGTTAAGTAATTAAATTTCTAAGGCATTCATATATCCATGTTTACTATAGTGGTGACAGCCACTTGTAAAATGTCCAGGAAATTTTCATAATTTAGTGACTAGGACATTTAGTGCACTGTAAGCGTGGTATATTAAAGGTTGGACATAAACTGTAATACAGTTGAGTTTTTACATTTGAAGTTTTTAAATAGAGTAGTTTTAGTAAATATATAAGAGGAACTTATAAAAAGGCTGTTTTGTTCTCAAACTATATAAGTTACGTAGTGTAAATACGAATATATAATGCTACATCACAGATTTAGAATGAATTCCTTTGCAAATTTTTAAATATTGTTTCCTTCGTAAGACACGTTGACACATTTCAATCTGTAGTGTTTAGACTTTGATTTTTTTTGCTCTATTTGTCAGTAATAAAACAGGCTGATGAAACATAAAATTAAAATTTCTGCCAAGACAAAGTTATAAATATTTAATAGCCTAACTTTTAATAGAGCCTCTCAAGAATATCTTAAATATCTATGCCATTGGTAGCAAATTGTTCTAAGACTGCCTGCTGCCTACCTTTTTATCAGACTAAAGAAAATGTAGGAATTACTGAGGAGAGACTTCACAGAGAGGGGCAGGCTTAGTGATTTCATGTGCTGCCCTTTGTATTCCATCTGTCCTTACATTTTGCTGTCTTACATTTCACGATTTTCCTTATTTTACTCTGCAGATGAATGTATTTTGCTTACTTTGGCATGCGGATGCAGTTGACGTCTGCTTTGATGAATGTGCCAGTGTGTGTGTCAGGATTCATCTCCTACATACACAGTGGTCTTCTTTGAGATCATGTTTTTATGAGTGTATTGCCTAAAAGTGATCACTAAATGTACCTGGAGTTAGAAACTTCTGATTTAGACTTCTCTAATGTTGAACTGTAAAGGAAGTTAACTCTTCTGACTTTACTATGAAACATTTTTGTGTTACTGGATTATCTTGATTGTGGACTGGAGTTGATTTCATTTACAGTTTTATTTCTGCTATGATCACTCTCATCTAGAAAGAGTAATGCAGTGAGAGAAATGATATAGAAACTATGATATTAGATACTTAACAGAATTTTAATCACCTTTTGAAAGATTTCAGTGTATCTTGGTACTATATTAGGCTGCTTAAGAGATGAAATCTTCCAAAAATATGAAAAGATTTTTCACCCTTAGTGTACTTTAAATCTTATATAAATTTGATCTATTACTTACTTTGCCTGTATTGTTTCTCAAGAGATCAAAATCATCCTTTTAAAAGGGGGGCGATGTGTCAGATCTTAGGGGAAATCTTTACTTTTTACATAAGTTAGTCCCATTCTTCTTAATAAAAAGATTTTTTTAAAAAAATGACAATCTAGTTGCTGAAATTTTGCTTATGTCAGCACAAAGCAAATTGAATAGCCAGTTTCTGTTTTCTAAGATCTGCCTTTGAATTGAGCTTAAGTTCTTAATCATTTCAGTTACCAACTAGATGTATCTTTATTAAATATTGTCTCTAAATAATAAAAGTATTGTAAATATAATAAAACTTTTTGAATCATATTATCAGTTACCTACCATAGTTATTTAAGAAATTAAATAAAAACACAGTGGACAAGTCTATATAAAATCAAGTCAAAATCTATTTTTATATAAATTTTAAAGGAATTTAAATGTAGTATATGTATTTTCATTATAAATATATTAGTTATGTTTACATATAGTTACTAAATATTCTCAGGTATTTGTGGGTCAAACCGTTGTGGTATTCTTTAATAATATGGACCAGAAAGCTCTAGAGAAATAATAAATACGTTATTAGAGGCATTATTACACTATTTCTTTTATTGTCCCCCCAACATTTTATCCTTTAATATCTGATACTTGAAATAAATATTCTTAATTGAAACATTCAAAGATGGTAATTATTTTTAAGGGAAAAAAAATCCACAACAGATTATTAGCATCATTTTACTTAAAAGGAGACAAGAATAAAAACCCTTAATCATTCCTGAAGTAGAATTGCTACATATAGTATATGCTATATATAGTACTGTCTATTGAAAAGTTTAGCAATCATATATCATGGTGTAATAATCAGTACACTTTTTGTCTGTCAAGTAAAATGTTTCTTTGAAAATCTATCTTACGTATTGCTATACTTTTCAAGAGAATAGTCTATGTTGTGTATGTTAGTTTTGGCTGACACACATACTTGCCTTTTGGTTTATCCTACAGTATATATTTAGATTCCCTACAGATGAACTGATGTGTTCTAGACAGGAAGTGGTATGTAGGAGATATAGGAATGGGCTGAAGTATCCTTTATATTTGCCTTTGTATCTAGGGGAGTTGGAAATAGGCAAGAATGGAGAGAAATTTTGTATGGCAGTACAAAGAATTTTGCAAGTTTATTGTGAGCCCTGCAGCAAATCCGATGCATTTTAGTTACTGGTAAGTTTGTTAAATTATGTTTGAAAATGTACCTCTTCGAAGATGGCCATCTATTTACTATTACGTCCACCATGTCAAATATACCTTATTTTAAAGATTTACTTTTGAAAAGATGTAGTATTGCATTAGGATTTAGGTATACATTGAAAATACTTTTCTTAGTGAATGCATTTGACATTTTTTATTGGTGTCATGGTTAATATTGAAGTGAAATTAACATTCCATCGATAGTATAGTCATGTGTTAAGATTTTGGAATAATAATAATGACACTAATATTTCTGTTTTTGTAATGGAACTTTATTGTGTTTAGAGGTCCCGGTTTATTCATTAGATGTTTGAGAATCAGCAGTTCTTTTGACATAAAAAATGTGAAAATCCATGGCATCCTTAAAATTTTACATGGTTCTAGATAGGGGGGTGTTTTATTGTAGGAAGTCCTTTTTTGCCTTTTTTCTTATGGGCCGTAGGGACCACTGTGAAGCATTTCTAGTTTTTCTTTTTGGCAGTGTTGATGTTCAGGAACTCACTTTCCTCCTAAATCAGTAACTCAGGTATAGGTAAGAATTCCACAGATCAGGAAGTTGTATGATCTCTATGCATAGTGTCCTTTATTCTTTTTAAACATGTAGGCAGAAATGTTATACGTAATATAGTACTGAAGTAGTTCTTTGTGAAGTGGCCTTGACTATTGATATCAATTCAATTCATTTAAAATGGACTACATTGCTTCATAGATTCCTCCCTATAGAAGAAACCTTAAAAAAAAAAAAAATCCCAAGGGATTCCTTGGTTGTTGTGTTTTTCTTATAATGTCTATCTTTGAATTATGGAGAAGATAAAAGAATATCATTGATTTGTGATACTAGTTTACATTTTTGTTGTTGTTGTTTAAGGCTATAGGGCCAGTTAATAAAATTGAATTTTAATTTCCTGTAATGAAGTACCAGATACTATATTTTTTTCTAGCGGATCTGATGTAATTTACTAAACTGTTTATTTTTATAATAATGATAATGGTAATCTTGCTATTGGTTCTTGTTATGAGACCACTTCTGATTTGAACAACAATAGCCACATTATTAGAGAATTATATTATTTGTCAATCTTATTAAAGCAAAAGAAGTGGAAAAAATTCAGAGACTTGCAATAACTTCAGATTCCTTTTGGGCTTAATAATTTTAAAATTTTCCTCATTATCATATTTTCTTAATTACTTGAGAGAATCAGTACTTTTGCATTTACAATATATTTAGAAATTTGTGGTTTTACTTTTTCTTATGAATATAAATAGGTGATTCAGGGTATTTTATAAAAATTTATAAATAGATATTACTTTAATTTCTGATAAAATCTGGTTGTAGTAATTTATCATAAACTAAATTAAGCACATACAATGAAAGAGTATATTTTTATTATTGGAATACTATATTTGTGTATCAGTGCTGCTGGTTGAAAATTATTACATGTAACTTTGTGAAATAATACATTATCAAAGCTTAATTAAGTGGAATCATTTAATTTTCTTTTGTCTCTTCATTCATTAATTGTTGCAACAGACATATCAAATACTTAATGTTTGTCTGACATATCTTTGTTTGCTTTTATGTGTTTGTGTATACTTTATGTAATTAATTGCTGCTTTTTATTTTAATATTATATAAATCATTTCTTTTCTGAGGGCACAGTTTGGATATAAGTGACATGTTACATATTTCTCTGGGTTTTTTTTCAACAAAATGTTTTTGAAAAATAGATTAAATAAAAAGTTTATTGAAAAATAGGTTTGTTCTTCTAAAGCAATACTATGTGTATATTTATAGTTCTCTACAATAGCCTATTATTCAAACAAACTATGATAAGACCTTTATTATGGAACAGTAATCAATATTTCTTATGCAATATTTACTTGAAGCAGAAAATATTTGTATGTATGAAAAAATTTTGGTACTTTATTTTAAAACATTAAAAAACCTATATGGTTATGGTTTAATTTATTATATTTAATTTGAATGATAACACTAATTTTCTCATTCTTTTGAGAAAATACATTACTTACTTAATATAAATTGTAATAGTCCTTGTCACCAAAACAGAAATTAAATTTAAATATGGTTATTATTTTTGCATAATAAAATACTGAAATGGAACAGTGTGTTTTTTAACAAACATTTGATGATTACATAATGAAATTATCTGTACTTTACATGCAGTGCTACTCTTTTGGCATTCCTGGTTGAACTACTTAAAAGTTCAGTAGCCATGCAAGAACAGATGCTGGGTGGAAAAGGCTTTTTAGTCATTGGCTACTTACTTGAAAAGGTAAGTGATATGTGTTGCTGGTTTGATTGTGCAGCCTTCATAGTTGGACAGCTGACAAACACCAAGTATATTTTTTCTGTATTTCCCTTTCCATTAGCAGTGCTGGGGTCATACTTTTGGCTAATTCACAAATCTTCATATTACACACATACATATAAGTACAGAAAAGAATTTTAACTGGGTGGTGTTACAAGTGTAAATAAGAAATTTTGAATTAAAATGGAAACTAAAGAAAAAATATTTTATATATTTCTATTCAAATTATAAGTATCACTTTTCTTAATTTTTTTCCAGAGTAGTGCCCATTTATCCCCAGTTGCGCTTTCTGAGGTTTTAGGTGTCCATGGTCCAAAAATATTAAATGGAAAGTTCCAGAAGTAAAGAATGTTTTTTTTTTTTTAATTGTTTGGGATTCATTGAGGGTACAAAGAATTAGGTTACACTGATTGCATTTGTTAGATAAAGTCCCTCTTAGAATTGTGTCTTGTCACCGAGGTGTGCCAAACACCGTGACCCCCAACCCCCTGCTCTCTTCCCCTCTCCACACTGCCTCTTACCCTCCCCTCCCCCTTGTATTAGCTCATTTACTGCCTTTATATTAGAATAGAGTACATTGGGTTCTTGCTTCCCCATTCTTGTGATGCCTTACTAAGAAGAATGTTCCACCTCCATCCAGGTTAATACCAAAGATGTAAAGTCTCCATCTTTTCTTAGCGGCTGAATAGTAATAAACCATAGCTTGTTAATACATTCCTGGGTTGGTCAGCATTTAGGCTGTTTTCACATTTTAGCGATTGTAAATTGAGCTATGATAAACAGTGTAGTGCAAATGTACCTAAGATAAAAGGATTTTTTTCTTCCCGGTAGATGCCGAGTAATGGGATTATAGGATCAATTAGGAAGTCTAATTTGAGTTCTTTGAGGATTCACCATACTTCCTTCCAGAAAGGTTGTATTAGTTTGCAGTCCCACCAGCAGTGTAAAAGTGTTACCTTCTCTCCACATCCACACGAGCATCTGCAGCTTTGAGACTTTGTGATGTTGGCCATTCTCAGTGAGATTAGGGGGTATCTTGGTATTTTTGATTGGCATTTCTCTGATGATGAGGGACAGTGAACATTTTTTCATATGTTTGTTAGCCATTTGTCTTCTTTAGAGAAGGTTCGATCCATCTCTCTTGTCCAGTGATATATGAAATTGTTAGTTCTCTTTTTGCTGATTAATTGGAGTTCTCTATAGATCCTAGATATCAAGTTTTTGTCCAATTCATAATTTGCAAATATTTTTTCCCATTCTGAAGGTGCTCTGTTCTTTGTAGAGTGATGAAACCTCCTGCTGTCCCTCTCCATCATGCCTGGGCTATGAATCATCCATTTGTCCAGCTTATCCACACTGTATATTCTCTTAGTAATTTAGTAGCCAACTCAGTTATCAAATTGAAAGTGTATGGTATTTGCAGGGGTGGGTATATATATATATGTGTGTGTGTGTGTGTGTGTGTGTGTATGTATGTATGTATTACTATCCTTGGCTTCAGACATTCATTAGGACTCTTTAAACTATCACCTGTGGATTAGGGGGACTGCTGTAGTATCTTGCTATCTTTACATTCAGGCTGTTTCTTAAAAATATTAACCTTTTATTTGTTTAAATAATCTTACTTTTTAGTTTTTGCTTTATTTTTTAATAACATGATGAAAATTTTTATTTTGTAGTAACATCTGTACTCTTCTTCTCTGCTTTTAATATTCTGTATTTGAATATTTAAAATAGCCTTCTGTAATAAGGACATAGGGCAAACAATATAAATTAAATGGGTTTCATTAAATCCCATTTTCTGTCATTTTTTTATTATCTCCTTTGCATTAGTCACAACTGTACTCTTATGGTAATGATTGCTGAAATTTTTTATTTTAATTGCACATGAGTTTGGCTATTTCATGTGAGTTACTTCAAAAATTAAAGTGGGATTCCATGAATAAAGGATTTTTTAGAAGAATTATCTCTGACCTTCATTAGCACTCTGAGACTCCAAGTGAGTTAACTCTTTAATATTCAGCTGCTCCAAAAATGCTAGTGTTTGAGAAATAATGGAGAATGAGATCTTAATTAAGAGTAATAAGCATACTTTTTCTTGGGAAAGAACCTTGAAAAGACATTTGGAAGTAGTTTTTATCTCACGTCCAATTGTTTTACATTTGAAATACTTACAAAACTATATTATTTTCCTAAGCGCTGCTCGCTTTTTAGATCATTGGTAGCATTTCTTTACTGAGATAATTTCTTTTAGTAACATTATTAAGAACTTCATTAAGTCTCTTTGGTTTACTTTTTTAAGATGGAATGCTGTTTTTCTGTATCTGCAGTATTAAGAATTGTTTAGAAGATATAAGATGAGCTGTATTTAGCATGAATTAGATATTAAGAAATATCTTTGTAAGACGACTGTGCATGACAAGATCACTGTAACGACCTAGTCCTTTGTTTTCTTCCCTTTACTGAGGATGTATCAGCATAATTCTATAGTGAACATTCTTTTACTTAAAACTTAGCTTAAAATTAGAAATATTATAAAAAACCTTCAGATAAAAAGGTATATTAAGTTCTTTTTCTTTCTCAAAATTAATATTCTTAAAATAATATCAATTTAGTGGATACAAAATTTTATTATTCATTTGGTTTTAACTGGTACTTTTTTAGATTTTGAATAAGATTAGACATATTTTTATATGCATTTGTTGGACAGTCATCTCTTCTGGGTCATTCATTCATGTTTTTTCTGGGTTTTTGCTATGTCTTTCCAAGACCTCGCCCTTAGGCAGCCTGTGATCTACTTTCATCTCTATGAATTTGTCTGTTCTAAATATTTCATATAAGGGGAATCATACAATATTGTCTTTTTGTATCCACTTCACTTAGCATAATGTTTTAAATTTAATTAATGTATAGCATCTATCAGAACTTCATTTGCTTTTAGGGCTTATATTCCATTACTTGTATATAGCACATTTTATTTATCCATTCATAAGCTGATAAACATTTGTGTTGTTTCCATCTTTTGCCTATTATGAATAATGCTGCTATGAATGTTCATGTATAAGGTTTTGTGTGGACATGTGTTTTTATTTCTGTTAAGTGGATACTTAGGAGTTGATTTGCTAGGTGCTATATATACCCATTTGAGAAACTACCACTGTTTGTCAAAGTGACTTCATCATTTTACATCCACCAGCAGTATTTGAGAATTCTAATTTTTTCACATCCTTGCTATCACTTGTTTTATCTGTTGTTTTGATTCTAGCCCTCCCAGTAAATGCGAAATGTTCTATCATTTTTTTTTTAATTTGTATTTCTGGGATGACTAATGGTGCTGAGTCTCTTTTTATATGCTTATTGGCCATTTTTATGTGCTTGTTTGTTGATACATCTCTTTGGGGAAATGTGTTCAGATCCTTTTCCCATTTAGAAATAAATGGAATATTTGTCTTTTTATTATTGAGTTGCAGGGAGTTTTTTAAAAATATGTGTTCTAGATACTATCTTATGAGTTATATGATTAGCAAAGATACTTTTGTATTCTGTGGAGTACCTTATGTTTTAATTTGCACTTCTCTGTGACAATTAAGCATATATTACTCTTTTGGTTATTTTTTATTAAATAGCTATACAAAGCTATGCCCATTTCCTTTGTGCTGTCTATCATTTCTTTTTTTTGATTTGTGGAAATGAGGTCTGAAGTCTGTTTATGAGTAATTTGTTGGATATGTATTGGAAATATCTCTAGAGCTTACTTTTTCATTTTCTCAATGTTTTAAATAAACAGAAATTTTAAATTTGAATATTGGTTACATTTTCAGTTTCTTTTATGACTGGACCATTTTGGATCCTTATGCATTTTAAAGCCATAAGATTACTTTGTTTTCATCTCAAATTTTTATTTTATTTTTCACGTTTTCATCTACAATTCATCTAGAATTGAATTTTATATATAAGATGAAGTATAAGAGTTAAGGTTTATTGTTTTTTGTGGGGGTTTTTTTGCATATATGTGTTTAGGTCACCAGTATCATTTATTGCAAAGATGATTTTTTTGACTACATTCCAATCTAATTTTTGTCATAAGTCAGGTAACCATGAATGAGGGAATTTTTTTGTTTTAAGATAATTTAATTATATCTTAATTTGCGTAGCTTATTAGCTCAGGTTGATATCTAAATAGTAAAAATTTTATGTCATCCAGCTTTATTGTTCTTCTTTAAGATTGCCTTGGTTATTCTTGGGTTTTTGCATTTCCATCTACATCAGCTTGTCAGTCTCTACCAAAAAAGGTTAGGATTTTTATTCTATTATACTGACATCTTTACTGTATTGAGTCTTCCAGTTGTATACTTGGTATATTCTTTTATTTATTTAGGTTCTCTTTTATAGTTTTCTGTGTTGAAACTTTCTTTTTAGTGGATTTATTCACAAATGTTGGCTATTATTTGATTCCTTTGAAATTTACATTTTTTATTTGTCACTGATACATAGAAATACAATTGTTGTTTATGTTGAAATTTTATATGCCAATCTTGCTATTCCTCAATTAATTATAACTGTACATTTTTTAAAAAATTTTCTTTGTAGACAATATCATCTGAGAATAGTATTTTTGTTTTTTCTTTCTAGTATTTATTCTTTTCATCTTTTTATCTTTGCCTTATTATACATGGGTCATTATGAAAGTTTTGAGATACCCAAAAATCAAGAAATGTAAACTTTGCATGATGGAAGCAAATTAAGCCCTCCCAGTAGTTCTTACAAGCCAGAAACTTGCATGGGTAAATCAGAAAGCACAGTGTCAATTATGTTTCTTGGAAGTGAAATAATGGACGATAGCACAGTCTGTCTCAAAACTTTCGTAGTAACGCATGCCATCTGTCTGTGAGTATAGTATAGAATTGAATAAAAATTTTGAAAATGAGTATCTCTGCATTATTCTTGATCTCATGGGCAATGAT